TTATTGCAGAAACATTCTCTAGATTCCTTGGAGGTTCGACGGACAAATTCAGAGCTGAAATTTTTATACAAGTTATTACATAATGAAATTGATAGTCCGGATGTTCTCAGTCAAATCAATTTTCTGGTCCCACGTAGCTCTCGGTATAGCTTTACATTTTATGTGGCCTCCTCGCGCACAAATGTAAGTAAATATTCGCCATTGAAACGTATGCAGGATGCATATAATTTATATCAGTGTAATTTTGATATTTTCGCTGCAGTTTGGTTTCGGTTGTGAGTTCAGTTTAGTGGTTTTTCTTGGTTTATATTGTTGTTGTTTTTTTTCATTGATATGTATTTTTTCTCATTGATGTTATTTTTTGTTTAATTTAATTATTTTGTATTGAATTTTTTTTTGTGTGTAACCCACTCTGTAATTGGCGTAAGCTGTAGAGTGTTGTAGAATAAATAAATAAACAAATAAATAAATAAATTATATGATATAATATGATTAATAGTTCATTTTTTCTTTTCAGGCTACAAGATGTCGTGAAGATGTGGGCTGGAGAAGGAGTGAAGTTTTTTTTTATTCAATTTTGTTTAATATAATGTTTATAATAATGTTTAAAACAACTTTTTTAGAATTACTTTATATTAAAACTTGTGTTAAAACTTAATAATTGTATTTATTCTAAATTAAAAAAAGCCTCTAATAAATAATCACAATATAAATGTAATAAAATACAACATGTTAATAAATCGAAAGTATGTTTGGTGCTCTTCTTAGCTTGTTCACCAACCTCTGCGCTGATTTATATTTAACACTTATTTAACACTTTACCATCTATTCTTTTATTACTTAATAATATACTTTCGAGTGTTTCGCAAATCCTTTGCAATAACACGAAGATTCTAGCACACAAGGGGGATGTTTTGTGGGTTCTAGCCTTTTCTGAAGTTGTCAAACCCCTGACAGAAAAATGTATTGTTGAATAGAATAATTATTACTAGTTACCAAGACGCTTAGAGCTTTCGGTACAGAAACCGAGGATTCGGTAGGGTTTCCGTTCGGTTCGGAGCTTTGAATAAGAAGACTAAGGAAGGAGCATAATGCTATCCATGTATTCATGCATGGTGGGCGGAAAAGCCACCATAAAAGCTCTCTAGGGTGGGGATCCTTGACAGTTCTGTTTGACGATTCATTTGACACATTTGAATTTAATTTGAAATTTTGTGGATTTGTCAGTCTTTACGGAGCTTATTTTATGTTATTTATTATTTATTCTACTACTGATAGTTGTATAAAGGTAGTAAATCTAGATGGAAATTGTGGCAGAACTTAAATTAACAGTGACACTATCGCGATTTATCGAAAAAAGACTCTAAAATAGTTGGTTGTGTAGCGTGCGGTAGATCTCGGCAAAAATTTGAGTGAAATAATGGAACAACTTTTCGCTAGTAAGTGACTATATAATATACATACGTGTAGTAAACCGATCATTTATGAAATTCACTTAAATTAACTAAATTATATATTTTTCTTGCATTTTAGCTTTTATTTATTACTTGTCAAAGATTAGATGTCAAAGAATTTAGATACGTTAATTTGACTTACCTGCTTCAGTAGCGTATCGGATATTTGTGTTAATAAATACTTATTATAACTTATCTATTTTTATTAGAATTATATATTTTTATAACAATTTTAATAACTGCCAACATTTATTCACAACGTAAAATAAAACAACAAATTATTGAGCCTACCCCACATCTACCCTACATCATAGTTTTACATTTTTTAAATAAAATTAGAACGACACTGATAAACCGGAATTTAACTCGGCCATATTTAAGGCCCATCGCGGTGTACCTAAGATTTTTGATATACTCCTTCCTTAGTCTTCTTATTCAAAGGTTCGGAGCTACGGACTAGCTTTACGTGCTACCGAATCGAAAATGTCGTCACAACCGAACAAATTCTACCGAATCGATCGGTAAAATACTTATAGAATAAGGCCCCAAGGCAAAGACTTTTTTATTTTATTTTCGTTTATATTCTGATAGTAAGTAATATTAAATAATTCTGGTGATTCAAAAAAAAATAATACTTTACTATCAGAATATAAACGAAAATAAAATAAAAAAGTCTTTGTTGTGACCCGGATTCGAACTCCGAATCCTCGGTTCGTGATCGGAAACTCTACGCACTTCGCTATGGAGACATGTTCGATATTCAATACCAGAATTTAAAGGACTAATAAAAATATAGGATCTTCTTTCAATGCGCAGTAGGGAACGCAACGTTTACCGGCAGCCAGACGGGCCGCATGCTGTTCTTGAGAGCATAGTAAAAGATATGTCAAAGAGCAAGACGTCTTAAAATACTTCTTTTTTCGACGTTGCTAGCTCTCGTACTATTAGCTTTAAAATTAATAGGGGAGCTAATATTTGGACAGTTCAAAATTTGCATGGTATTTTCTATAAGGACAGTGCACCACCCGGTATAGTATAATTAAATATCAGTTGCGTTATATTCTAAAGTTTTGATTTGAATGTAGAATTATATTACAACCAGTACATACGATTTGAATTTTAGATAAGCCAATGAGCTTAACTTGATTTATTTTCCCCAATACAAATTACACACTGGGATTGGAGAAGCGTCGTAGAATGCATTAATCAGCTAACAAGCTACAAGTCGCTTATAATTGTTTTGTTCCAGAAATAGAAAACTAGATCTACTCTATCTGGCTTTTAATCATCTTCGTATTATTCTGTATGAGAATTTTGCAAATAAGCTTTACTTATGAAACTTAGAAATACCATCGTTAGTATTAATTTATTTCTATACAGGGCGAGTTATAAATAAGTGCAATTTTTTTCAGGACTGGTAGATCTCGATAAAACAAACTTAGTTTCTCTTTACCGTTTTTCAAATAAGTCCAAAATAACCGAGTTATTTTACTTTAAAAAAGTTTTTTGCTTGAATTTTGAGAACCCCTGGACCTTTTCTGGGTTTTCTTTCTTGTAAATTTAATCTACTACCTATGTTTTTATATTATTAGGAAATTATGTTTTTTAACTGAAAACAAAAAAAAATTCCAAATTTTTTTTTCAAAAAATGGAATTATTTTTAAAATCTTCTTTTCTCGAAAAAAAATCATAATCGTATTTCTGGGATCGAAATATACTACCCCTAAAAATATTATTTGCACTTTTTTAAAACTCACCTTTTAACAAGAAATATTTTTTTTTGGAAATTTTCAAAGTAAGATATTTTGGTTATTTTAGTTTTATTTGAAAAACGGTAAAGAGAAAATATGTTTCTTTTATCGAGATACCAGCCCAGGAAATATTTGCACTTAATCAAGACTCACCCTGTACCCTGTATTTTTCTAGTTTTTAGATCGCTTTCTTTACTGAGTATTTTTTTAACCAAATTTTGTCCTTTGGTAGAGACTACGTGATTAAACAATAATGTTTAATGACTAAATAAATGCTAAATAAAACTCCCACACCTCTATGATATACAGGGTATCCCAGGCTGAGGGCGCATTAGAAGTTTCTAGAGTATTACAACATCTAGCTCGGAGATTTTTTGCACATCATAATTTCACAACGAGATCTATCGATTATCCAAAATACCGGAAGTTGACAGCAACTTTCTTATTTTAAATGGGTGCCCCATTTTTTATTACATACATAAATTCTCTGTAAAATTTTATGAATTTTGATATTAAACACTCTATACCTAATATTGACCGTTTCTGAGAAAAAAAATATTTAAAATTTTTGAACAAAAAAAACTGCCTGTCAAAAATATGTGTATAGCCTAAACGTCAAATTTAGTGATTATCACAGCCACTGTGCCATAAAGGGAAAACATGTGGCTATCTATTTCAAAAATTAAATTGTTCGAGTGTCATATAATAATGGCCGCAGCTGTCATAGAATTGAGCGATTAAAAAATTATCATGAATCATTTTTTTCAAATGGAAACGCACTTTTTTATTTCACTAGTAAAAAGAATTTTCAATTCGTTACTTTTTGACTATACATTTTTCTATATCTAAAATAAATCGTTTTAAGTTTTTTAAGATTTAGTTTTATAGCATATATATTTTTCTTGATTTTAACCAGTAGCCTAAAGTACGATATATATATTTTTATAAATACACTTTTTAAACTCTTGGTAGGCAGTATTTATAATAAAGGAAATTCAAATAATTCGTTTTCTGACAGATGGAAATAAATTGTCTGACCGTTTGACACTTCTTAATTTCAAAGGAAGCTAGATAAAATCAAGAAAAATATAAGTTTTCAAATTAAATCTTAAGTAAATTAAAAACGATTTATTTTAGGTATATGAACATGTATAGTTAAAAAGTAACGGATTGATAAAACCTTTTCATTAGTGAAATAAAAAAAAGTGGGCCTCCATTTGAAAAAATTGATTTATGATAATTTTTAAATCGCTCAATTCAATGACACCTACCGCCATTATTATATGACATTTGAACAATTTAATTTTTGAAATAGATATCTACATGTCTTCTCTTTATGTCACAGTGGCTGTGGTAATAACTAAATTTGACTTTTAGGCTATACAAATATTTGTTTTCATCCAAAAATTTTAAATATTTTTTTTTCTCAAGAAAGGTTAATGTTAGGTATAGAGTGTTTTACATCAATATTCAGAGAATTTTACAGAGAATTTAAGTGTGTAATAAAAAATGGGGCACGCATTTAAAATAAGAAATTTGCTGTCAACTTCCGGTATTTCCGGAAGTGCCGCCATATTGAAAATATTTTTAATCGATAGATTTCATTGTAAAACTATGATGTACAAAAAATCTCCGAACTAGATATTGCGGTTCCCTAGAAACTTCTAATGCACGCTCAGCCTGGGACACTCTGTATAGTTTATCTACTAATATTATTCATAGTTAGTATTCAAAAAGTCAAAAAGGAATTAAAATTATCGACTAAGTATTAATGACACATTCATTTTGGACTTACCTTAATGGGTCTTTGATATGTATGTACCTATCTAACGATATTGCACAGAGATTCAATATACTAGCCGTAGAACACATGACGTCGAAAGCAATCCACGTATCACAAAACTTAGTTCCAAATATCCAATAGCCAAGAAGGTCGTTAACACCAGCAAATGTCATTACCTGCAATAGAAGAAAAATACTCATGTTATCTAGGTTATTCAATTAAGTATAATTAATATATTAATAATATGATCTACAGTTTTCAGGGCAAATATGTGTATGTTAGTATAAGGCAAGTCCAAAACTTCCAATGAGTATGCAAACACAAACTACTAGTAAAATAAACTTCAAACAGTATACGCAAATTTCAGGAACAGGTAATCAATCAAAAGATAAACTACGATAGTTTAGGTAATGTTGGTTAGTTTCCAAAACTGTCAAACATTGCCGTTTTATTAAACCAATTTATGCGTCTAATTAACTAGAAGTTGACTGTAGGATATTCGACGTCTCAACAAGCCCTGAGGGACGGAACATACATTCCAACTAAAGTTTTGCATTTTTAGTTACTACTCATGCACGAGTTTTCATAATATGTACCGAAGTTCAGTCAGACGGCTTGAAAATAAGTATGTATACAGGGTGGTCCGAACTGTATTCCGGAAACTTCGGCAGCATATTCTGCAGATAAAAATAAGTAAAAAAGTTCGTATAAATGTATGTCCTAAAATACTTAGTTTCGGAGACACAGGGATACATTAAGCATGTTGACTAAATAGTTATTAGACTGAAATTATAAATTTGATTCTTTTTTGTGCCAAAAGTTCAATAGAAATTGTTTTTTAATCATCATTTTTTCGCAAAAAAATTTATGATTAATATAAAAAAAATAAAAATTTATTATTTCAATCAAATAACTATACTCAACATGTGCTTATTTTTTGTCAATAATGACATGTATTGACTAGTTCCATTCTAAATATCTTGAGAACGGTTGCTCGTAGCGATTTTTACCAAGAGACATTTTTTACGTAAAAAGTCATGGAAATGTATATTTTTCACTCAGTAGTTTTATACAGGTACGGACGAAAAGTTATTACTCTTCAAAACAGTTAAAACAAATGTAAGTGGCGCCCCCTACAAAGAGGAGTAATTTTAACATCAAAATCAAATTTTTCGTGTCGCAAAACGCCCATACACTTAAATTATATACACATAATTTCAATTTTCATCCAAATATTGACGTTACTTATTTGGAAAAAATCGAATTAAAAATGAAATTTCTACACCCTGTATCTCCGAAACTTAGATTTTACGAGGCATTTTAGGACATATATTTATATGAACTTTTTTACTTATTTTTATCTGCAGAATATGCTGGCGAAGTTTCCGGAATACAGTTCGGACCACCCTGTATAAAATTTTGCATGCTGTCGATAAAAATATTGGGTTTTAGATAAATTTACATCAAGGATTTATGAATTTTTATTAAACTTAACTCTAGTTGATAACTGGGAATTTACAATAAACATTAAAAATATACGCAACAAGGACTGTATTCTCTAATTTATAATGATTCTATGTAGTAATTTTTTGAATGTTGCATTAGAAAAACAGAAAGAATGTCTTCTGCATAAAGATATTGCATTAAGAAAATCAAACTGAAATACCATTAAGACTTCTAAAAGAGCTGTATTGGGAAGTCTAATAGCCGGAGAGCTGGCGACATATTTAGAGAACATATTTTAGGTAAGTTAGAATAACAAAAAAAATAAAGTTTAATAACTTGTGAACCCAGAATCCTAAGTCTGGCAGGGGGGTTGGGGGTATTTCGCTACTGCGCAACCAATAACATTTGCAAAAAAATAAATCCAAAAAACATTCTTTAGGCAACTTGAAATTTGTTTATTCTTAAATTTTAGCATCTATTTAACCTAGAAATAAGGGTGCCAGACTTTTTTTTCGGGTTTAAATTGTAACCAGACCATTCCAAATATGTTGAATTATTATACCTGGAAAACATACTTTAGGCATTCTAGAATTTTTACAGCGTGTTTATTAGATGATATTAAAAAATATGTGTTAATTGCCAGACGAATTCAATGGGATTTAATACTTGCCAGACGCGAATAAAGATTTTAAATGAGCGCGACAAAAAAGTCTGATGAGTATCTATAAGCGCGAGAAAGATAGTTTGGTACATGGTACCCTTTTGTCGGGACTACATTTTCTGGTAAAACCACTTCTTTAAATTTTAAACCATGTTGTTGGCGCACTTTTAAAAATTCTTTGCATTTGTGTAGTCTGCCTTCATCAAAAACAATAACTTTGTCTGGCAAGTATTAAATCCCATTGAATTCGTCTGGCAATTAACACATATTTTTTAATATCATTTAATAAACACGCTGAAAAAATTTTAGAATGCCTAAAGTATGTTTTCCAGGTATAATAATAAAACATATTTGGAATGGTCTGGTTACACTTTAAACCCGAAAAAAAAGTCTGGCACACTTATTTCAAGGTTAAATAGATGCTAAAATTTAAGAATAAACAAATTTCAAGTTGCCTAAAGAATGTTTTTTGGATTTTTTTTTTTGCAAATATTATGGGTTGTGCAGTAGCGAAATACCCCCAACCTCCCAGCCAGACATAGGATTCTGGGTTTACCAGTTAATAAACTATACATTTTTAGTTATTCTAGCTTGCCTAAAATATGTTCCCTAAATATGTCGTCAGCTCTTAGGCCATAAGGCCGAGCGCCCACGGTGCGACTATTTATATACAGGTTTTAGAAATTATATTTTATTTGACAAAAATTAAAAACCTATCATCAGTACTTTCAAACGGATATTCAATCTTGTATATTTTTGTCTCGGTTGAGCATCACAAAAAGTACAGATAAAGGTGTACCCTTTTAATACAAAGATGACATTCCATAATTTCTAGCAAGTCGATTGTTTTACTAATTTTAGAATACGCTGCATAGAATAAAAGCGTATATGAAAAATTTAAATTTTCAATTATTTCCTAATATTGTTTACCTTGAACTATTAAGGTACGCGCACACTGACCAGAGCCGCACGCGCCGCAACGACCGAAGTAAAAAATATTTTTTGTGTTACTTTCAATGAAAATTAACGAAAATGCGGCCAGCATTCTTGGGCCAGAACGTTTTTCGGTCAATGCGGCTAGTGCCGCTGACGTCACACGCAATTTCTTCCACTCTACACGGGTAGCTGAATCGAACTAGCCGAAGAGGAGATTCCGGAAGTTCGCCGAAAGTTAGCAAATTTGTCATCGCTCATTTTGAAATATTGAAAAATGTTTCGTTCGTCCTCAATTAAATATGGTAATAATGTGTGGAATTTCCCTCCTAAAGGTAAAATTTTTGCAAACATTGTAAACCCATAACTTTCGATCATTCCTCGTGAATTCTGCTTCCTCTATTAGCAAGGAGCAGACTTGGGTAGTATTCGAATACTCGGTATTCTGAATCCTATTCAGGATACTTTTGACTGGTATTCGAATACTATTCGAATACATTTGTGTATTTGGTATTTGATATTCGACTGAATACTTTTTTGGTCAGTAATCAGTATTCTGGATTCTGAATACCGTTTTTGAATCCCAGTATTCAAATCCTGTATTCGAATCCCGATATTCGAATCCTGTTTGATTTTGTTTATGAATATTGCGTTACGCTTTACGCAACATAAGCTTGTTAAAACACGTTCGCGGGGGTTGCGGACGGTTCTCAATTCGCGATGCCGACAATCAGGTTAAATTTAATCATCGCCAAATCGTGAGACGAGACAGGTCGCTTAAGGATCACGATTAGATATTACGTGTGCACTTGTGCAGTATCGCCATTCTAGGTATTTTATTATAAATTTTAATACCTGTTATAATTTGTGTGTGATACCAGACAAAGTACCGGGTGGCCAACTAAGAATGGACGCGGGCTGTATCTCAGAAACTACTTGTCGTCTAACTTTGGGAAAAAAATTCTAATAAGTAAATCGACCAAGAAAAATCGCTGGAAATTATTTTCAAGCTCGAAAAATATCCGCTAGGGGGCGTTTCTCTGATAGCCAATCAGAAAACAGGGTTTTTCTCAAAAATATGCAGGTGAAGAGGTATTTTAAATATTACTACTATAATCATTAAGAAATTTGTAATTTTTATGATATAGAGTGTTTTGCTCTATCTCATAAAATAAAGTGGTGGGGGAAGGTAAATAAAAATCAAGTTTAAAGTACGGATATGTTTTTGTTGTTGGAATATTCAAAAAGTATTCATATTTAAATGAATCCAGGTATTCAAATACAGCGGTATTCGAATATTTTTTTTTCTTTATATTCGAATCTTGAGTATTCAAATACAATTTAGAATACAGTATTCAGGATTCATATTCGAATACCGGATTTCAGTATTCGACCCAAGTCTGGCAAGGAGGGCATAATTAATTATTGCTTGTTTTCCATTCGTTACTCATTGTCGAGAAATATTAAAAAAAAACACGCTTCTCACTGCAGACAGAACTCCGGAAGCGACTTTTGAGAAATTCGATTGACAAATCCGGGTGTAGTATGGGCAAAAAGAAACAAAAGAGTGAATAATGCGGTGAGAGAAGCGAATAGTGCATAGTAAAAAAACGAATAGTGCGGCGCGTTCGGTTCAGGTCAGTGTGCGCGACAAGAAAAAAAGTGCGACGCGTGCGGCGAATGCGGCGCTGGTCAGTGTACGCGTACCTTTAGGATCTCGATTTTTAATTGAAAAATGAAATTTTAAAAACTTGGTTAATTAAGATACTATCATTGATATTATATTGTCCTGTTACTTATTATATAATTTCAGTTACTTATTGTTTCCATCATGAAATACATTTCAATAACAGTCGAACAAAATGTAGGTATTTGATAGTAGTAGCTAAAGGACTTTCATATTATGAAATATAAATTGCTGAAACTAATTACAGTCGTATTAAACATAAATTATACTTTTTTTATATATATTTTAGCTTTTAGTTAAGCTCAAATCTAAGAATCTAAAATTGAGTTAAAATAATATGCATACAAAGATACGCTTATTGAACGAATTATTGAAATATTTGCCTAAAATATATTTTTTAAATTTCCTTCAAATATTCTAAAAATAATTTTAAATATGTATCGCATGACAACTTTAGCTTTATCTATTGTATTAAGGAAAAAATTAGGCTTAATGTCCTAATTGTTAAGCCGATGATACACAAAATTGAACATCTACTATTTTTTACAATTACAAGTAAAATACCGATCATAATCTATCAAAATAAATTTCAAAATTCATTATTTACATTTATTTAGCTAATAAAACGTTATAAGCAGATAAAAATTCTAATCTTTTGTTTATCCGCTGATGATTGACATATGAACAACTATGCGTCGAAAATTTAAACAGTTTGATGTATTGAAGTTAAATCATAGTATAAGGAAACTAGTAGATTTACTCCTTGTCAAATCCTTTGTTCTTTTTCCGTCACTTTATATGACCTTGTTCTCGCCTCCCGTGACCACTGACGTAGCTGTATAGTTGTGGTCTATTAACTAGGCAAAGTATAGCCGTGGCACTCGCCGTAGTTTCACAGATATGTATTTAGAAAAATATGAGTTCCCAATAAAATAAAATAAAATAAATTGATCATCGAGTAAAAACTTGCTTGAAAACAGAATGTTTTCACATTTCGTGTAGGTGACAATTCTTCTGTATCTGGAAATCTTCTGATGGGAAGAAATGCGGAAAATATATATAATGACATATTTTTATATTATTATCTATTTCAGAGATTTTCTACAATTTTTTTTTGATTTAAAACAAGTTTAATTTTCTGTAGAAAACTAGATTCTATTTAAAGCACACTGCGGTGTTGCCATTCTATTTCTTATTTACTAAAACTTTGGGGTTAAAAACATTATATATGAAAAGTGGGAAAAAACTAGAGTGAATATAACTTTATTAATACTTAGCTATGTTTTCTTAAACATGACAAGGACACCAGAATAAATTCGTGTAGAAAAATTTACTTTATCGTATACAGGGTATTTTTTATGGCGTCACCAAAATCGTAATATTTAAAATGTTGTATCTCATTTTTTTTTAAATGCAACACCTAGTATATTATTTTTCTTTCAGATGTAGAATTAAAAAGTGAACATTTTTTGTATTTAAAGTGTTCTTAAATTTTAGGCGTTTTGCAAATATTTTCTGTATTTCATTACATATGGGATTCTCAACGATAAAATATTAGACAAAGATCATATTAGGTGGCTTTGATAAAAATTTACTGTTGAAAGAGCTATATGTAATATAATACTGCGAATATCTGCGAAACAGTTAAAAATTTAGAGAAACACTTTAAATAAAAAAATGTTCACTTTTTAATTCTGCATCTGACCGAAAAATAATATACAGAATGTTGCATTTAAAAAAATTGAGATATACCATTTTAAATATTCCGATTTTGGTGACGCCATCGCCATAAAAAATACCCTATATAGAATAATGTATATAGAATGATAAAATTAACTTTACCATAACTTTTTTGTGACACCCTGTATATAACAAAATATTTTAGGATACGACCCTTTATAAACCTTGAAACATATGAATACAACTTTTTTCACATGTTCGACGAGAACGACGATATTGGACTTCCTCGCAATAATGGGCCACCCTGTATATTTTCGGTGGTTTAAAGCTAGGTGTGGCACTTTTCTTCCCTCAAATATAAACTCAATATTTTGTCTATAATATTGTGAATATTGTTAAATTACGACCACTTATAATAAAAAATAAAAAAACATAAAAAAATACAGTTCACTAAATTTATAATAGATTATGCTATTATCAAATTCTTTCATTTAAAAAATATGAATAATTTGCGGAGACTTTAGATGTACAAAATATTTACTCTAAAATTGTTTCAAAAACCAATCTATATAAATTATCTCGTAAATTATTATTGGAATGAAAATTTTATGGCAAATCCCCTGACCAAAGAATATTTTCATGCGCATATTTGAGACAACCTGTATATCTAAAAAACTATTTCTAAGATTTGCCCACATGCTAAAAAAAATTAATAACATTTAATTAATTACATAATATCTCAGCTTCTAAAATAAACAAATATAATTAAATGATTATTGATAATTACTATCAGCTTGCCGATTTACATCCGATGGAAATCTAAAAAAAAACTCTAAGAAGAATTTTTTGAATTATTACTACAATTAATAGCAGCACACAGTAAGGCACTCATTTTTTGTCAATCCGTTTCTGTGCTGGGACGCAACGCTCGAACCTCGCAGTTCGACGGACGGAATTCAACTGAAACGCTTTGCAAGCTGCCGATATTCGACAGCTTGCAAAAACTGGCAGAAAATATTTGCGAGAGTGCAACTACTCTTTTCCTTAAACTATGGTTAAATTGTGTAATTTTCCAAAATCAAGATTGAATTTTAAAGAAACCATTCTAAATTATAAATTTTTTGATGATGTAAAATGACAGCGATCTTTTTATAGCCCTGCCTAACGCCGTTTTTCTTTCAATCATATTGTACATTTTCTAATCTACGAGTACTCTATACTATATCTACACCATACATTACAAATAAAACAAAACACACAAAAAGTAGTATAAAAGCGCATAAACATCTAATTCTACATGCAATAAAAATAAAATATGTTACCAACGAGGCCACGAACAGGTCGGCGATTGCCAGCGATGCCAGGAAAAGGTTGCCGATCCTTCGCAGCCCTCGGTCGGTGTAAATGGCAATACAGACCAGGATATTGCCGGCAACGGAGAGGAAAATTAACAGTGAGAGAAATACGCCTGAAACAAAAATGATTATGTCGAGCATTGTGGGCAATGAGAGCAAATTGCAGGTCTTGAGCACGTATTGATGTCTGGAATTGTTTTCTTCAAAAATTCTATTGTGCGGAAGAAATTAAATTAATGTTTGTGCCTTTGTAGGTTGATTATAGCAATATTGCGGTAGAAACTCCTTATTGTTTAAAGGAACAGGTGCAATAAATTCGAGAATTATTAATTGCTTTTTATTAAAATTTAAAGTTTATTTTTTATGTAAATATTTTCGGTTTAGTGTTTGTCTCTAACAAACTTATTTACTTAAATCAAAAGCATAAATTACAATATACATATCATATAATATCTTTACCAAGTAAAGAGACTAATATCATATGTGACATATCGAATACATCAAATGAAGCTAAAAAATATGACAGACACCTACTGTTAATGAGTTTTCTTTTTCTAAGTGGTCTATGTAGAAAAGAAATATAATACTGGGTGAATATTGAATTATTGAAATAAAGGTAAATTTGATGCAGGTTTAATACACTTAAACCTTACCGTTTTTGAAATATTTTCAATTTTGTGAAATTGCAATCAAAATTTTAAGGCTTCATTTCTCCAAGAGTATCAAAGTTTTTAATACTAAATATTTACTGAAGTTTATTTATTGATCAGTTATTGTGTTGCAATAATAAAAATGAGACTCCCTTATACAGAGTGTTTAAAATTTTATTTTAAATAATTACTAGCTTTAAACGGCAATAACTTGTTTAATTTAAATGGAACACCCTGTATATTTTATGAGAGTCAGATGCACAATTTAATTGTCTATCAAATTGTATTATACCATTTTTTACCTATCTCTTCAAGTTTCTGTAGAAAATGCATTTTCTTGGAATTTAAAACTCATTTATCAACATACCCATGGAATACTGACATTTTTTAGATTATTTTTAAAGATGTACCAAATTTATAAATACTACAGATACTAATATTGTCGATATAGTTTGTTTATTTCATTAAAAAATAAAAGAAAACTGTTTAAATATTTGTTAAGGAGGACCAATTAATATGATTCCAGTATTCAAACTACATCAATTGACCGTTTGCGTTGATTAATAATAATTGGTCCAAATACTAAAAAACTTAATTTTGCATGTGTATTAGACAGTGTGGTAAAAAGTAAAACCTTAAAAATTTTATTTCATTTTTTGACAAACATTTATTTATAACAACAGAGACATTCGCATAATTTATTATTTCATTGATTTCTGATTCAAATCCACATTTATTTAGAATAATTTATTAACGAACATAATTAAGTATGTAATTAATTAGTGTTTGGGCGGAAATAATGGTGGTATATTTAATTAATGGTATACTCTTTTATAAAGATTTAAATAGTTTTCTTTTTGCATACAAATGGGCTAGTAATATTATCATTTTACTAAAAACGATAATATTATTAGCCTGTACATTTTGTACATTTGTTGCTTTAAAAACAATCTTAAATGTCAATATTCCATGGGTATATTGATAAATAAGGTCTAAATTATAAGAAAATGCATTTTCTACGAAAACTTGAAGGGATAGGTAAAAAGTGGTATAATACTTTTTACCTATCGATTACCTATATATTACCTTTAATTTAATAGACAATTAAATTGTACATCTGATTTTCCTAAAATATACAGGGCGTTCTATTTAAATTAAACAAGTTATTGCCGTTTAAAACTAGAAATAATTTAAAATAAATTTTTAAACACTCTGTATGAGGTACTATTATTTTTATTATTGCAACACAATAATGGATCAATAAATAGACTTCAGTAAATATTTAGTATTAAAAACTTTGATACCCTTGGAGGAATGAAGCCTTAACATTTTTACTGCAATTTCACAAAATTGAAAATTTTTCAGAAACGGTAAGGTTTAAGTGTAATTAATCCTTAACCTTAAGGATTAACCTTAATCAAATTCACCTTTATTTTAATCGTAGAACCTAAAAATGTAATAATATACAGGGTGTTTAAAAAAAATACAACTTTGATATTTTTTATTTATTTGGGACACTCTGTATCTGGTAAAAATATTTTTAAATTGTAGCTCTAATAGTCCTTCAACGAACCCAAAACTTACAATTTGTAAAAATCTAATCATTTAGCTACAATACTCCGTGTCGTATGTGGTGAACAACCCTGTATATCAACAGACTAAATCAAGTTTTTATCTAAAAAAATAAAAAAGTTATAGGGTTGAACCACTTTTGAAGAACACCCTATGTAACTGGTAAACAGATACCACTGCTAAGTAATATGATAAAGTTACTGGAAAATATTTATTGTTAATAAAACAAAGTATACTAAATCCGAAATAATAAAAAATAACAGAGAACTAGCAAATTTGTTTTTGAAGTGTAAATAAATATTTATTAATAATTCAATATGAATAAGGTTTTAATTTCCAATGAAAATGCTGTAGAATTATATTATATTTAATTAAAAGTTGTTAAAATCTAATTCGCGTGTTTAATTCAATAATATTTAAAATTAATGAAAATGGATTTGTAATTACATTGAGGCGATCACAATGCTTTCTGTTGTTATAAATATTTGTTTTTGTTTTTATCAATTAAATAATTTAATATGAATAGGTTTATATTTAAAAAAAAAACTAGGTTATATACCCTGCTGGCAAGCGAAACTTTGGGTCGGCGTTTACATGTATAGGAGTGAATCGCTATGGCAATCTAGTAAATCGGAGAGAGCAAAAAATATGAAGTATTTATTACATAACCACTTAATCTGACGATAGATTCCATGCGCTTGGGAAAATACTTGCCTTCTGTCTTTATTCAGTATATCTTATTTTGCTAAGCGTATTGGCCGTACTCTTCGTACACACGAAAATCGGCACCCAAGACCAGAAATGCCAGCCCTAGTATAACGAACATAAAAATTAGTCAAAAAAAAAATTGTTTGTCATAATATTTGTGGTTATGATTCACCGGTTATTGATAGGAAGTTATTAGATTAGAAGCATTTTTTTCATATTGATAGGGTACCTACTATTTAAAATCTAAAATTTATTTTAATTTACTATTATTTATGTATATAGGGTGGTGACAATTTCGATGCTCAACATTGGCATCTCAGAAACTACGAGAGATACGAATTCGGTTAAATGCAAAATTGATTTCGAAACAAAATTTTTAAATGCGAAAATGATTTCGCACAACAGTCAAGTTTTTGTTATCTTATGGCCGCCATTTTGAATTTTTATACTATTAGATGAGCAAAAAATAACTATTTTAAAAATAATAATTGACAATTATTTATATAACAGCAAATTAATTTTTGTTTACTCTATTAAACGTTGTCCAGATTTGACATTACAGTAGTACAAACATTTATAGTAGAGAGTGTAAAGTGTATAAAGCATTGTATCCTGAAAGGACACAGCCTCCCCAAGTAGCAAAAAGAAATTCTAAAAGGATTGAATTATTTTATAATAGTCGAATAGCGTTGTGTTAAGGACTGCTTCATTTTATTAAGCGTTTGGTTTCGTCCATTCAGTTTTTTTATAAAAGTTGTCATATTAAACTATTTTCTAGTGGTTTTTACAACGTATCCTATAACGCATTAAACGATAATTTCTTTTAGTATGATATAACACTTAATAAGACAATGCTATATGATAACAAACATATTATTTTATTAGACTCTTATACCCACCATGTAAGAGTTCTATAATATTCATATAACTAGTAGTCACAAGATCATATAATAGTTACTTAAACTTGTCTTATTAAAGTTGTATTACATTGTATGATAGAACGTTTTATTGCGTTAAACTACGGTGCTGTATACAACACAATTATATAGCCTTATATGATAAGATTGTGATTAACAAAATAAATTCGCTGTAATATCTGCATTATAAAACTGGTAATGTATAATATAACCTCATTTTAATTTAAATGGTATACCAGTATACCTAGTTATTTATTTTCTTATTGTTATTGTTGCAAAAGTAATATCTACGCATGAGTATAATCAATCACAGCTATTATGAATTCTGGACAAAGTTGGAAAAAACTTAACAAACGCAGTGGTAGTTATAAAGAGCATGCAAGAAAAAACTCCTCGAAATTACGGTAAATAATCCCGAGAATTCTCTAGGTTCTCAAATTGCCAAAATCTCTCGGGTTGTCTGGCTTCTTCAAAGCATTGTTGCCACGTTGGTGTAAAAGTTTTACTGTAGTAATGTTTGTATTGTTTTATTGTTGTTTTTCCAAATCCTTAGGTTGCTCACTCGTCGGGCACGCATGAAATGCATTGCGTGCATGAATCCATAAAAATCTGATCATGTTTGTTAGTTTAAATACTAATCAAATGAGATTTGGCAACATCTATTTGTCGCAAATCTCAATATGTCCAAAATAGTTCTATAGTGCCTGGAAATTCTGCGTAATGATAGATATTTATCCTATACCGTTTTATTTTAAAACAAAGACTTATTTAAGGGATTCATTTATAATAAAATGGTTGCATTATAATTCGCCATGTTTAAGGCAGAATTTGTGTATGGCCTATGGCCGCCATTATATGAAGCAAAATTAAAAACATCAAAATACATTGTAAAATGTTATTTTTGAGAACTATTTTGTGATAAGATTCCCACATACAGTAATAAAGTGTTTAATTAAATTAAAAACAAGAATTTTTGAAAATTTTATTTTATTTTATTGTTTAAATTTATATCTAAACCTTAATCGAAATTAAAGCGCTTTAATTTTTTGCCAAATACATACCTATAATCTACCAGTAAAATTTTCGGCGCAACAAAAATTGTCCCTACTTTTCAAACCCTATTAATGATTTTTTATATTATATATTTGTTGTATTCTTCTGTTTGTTCTTCTGGCTCTACCCGCCATTTTCATTGTCGAGTAAAGTCTCCTTTTTAACAATCCACATCCTCTAGATTCATTTTACGACACGCTTAAAATATAATTTGCTGCTAATATTCTTCGGTAAAAAATAAAATACTCTTGTACCTCGCTAAATGATCAAATGTTTTTATTGTTCTGTTTCTTAGATGTGATCACGTAATACACAATAAAACAAGTTTTATAATAGTCATATATTGCTGTGTAACATAGTTTCATAAGAGTTGTCTACCTTTATTATAGAACTTCTATACTACTAAACGGTTGTATAAAAATGGGCCTTTTTTGGTTGTAAAGCTATCATATTACGGTCATATAGCACGTTCTATGAATTGAGGTATCCTATAAAAATTATCACATAGCTGTTTATACAACCTTTATAAAATAAAATTTGCTACTTGGGTCATAGTACTATTTTCGCAAGGAATTCAAGAAATTTAGCAGTTGCTGGTAGCTTTAAAAAACAAGAGGGCAATATTTTAAAAGGCTGATATTAATGTGCCAGCTCAGATTGAAATAAATCCGGAAAGTTCTAGCAGTAAAATAAGTAGCGAGTGTTGTATAAGTGATTCTTATGTAAGGAAAATTATCAAAAAATATAAATATCACAACTTTAAATTTAAATGTGTACCAAATTTACATTTTTTTACATGCTGGTGATCACGAGAGAAGTTTACAATTTTGCAAATGGTTTCGGGAAAGTGTTCAAGAGAGCCCTTTTTTCTAGAAAAATAATATGGAGACATAAATCTTTATTTACAAATTCTGGTACATTTAACAGAAAAAAATTACATTATTATGCAAAAGAAAATCCTTATTTAGTTAGAGAAACCAGACCACAAATATGACATTTTTTGAACGTCTGGGCTGGCATTCTTAACAATAAAATTTTAAATTCTGTACTGACCTGTATTGAACTCTACCATACAATTTTTGTGCATCCAGATTTGACACTTAATAGAATAAACAAAAAATAACCAGCTGACATATAAAGTGTCAAATGGATTTCCAAGGCATACTTGATCTTGGGCGAATTTTTAAAAAATCAATTTTTTTTAATGAATTTGCACAATAATTAATAAAAATTAGACACCTTCGTATAGACTTTTTTTCGCTCTATCTAATAGTATAAAAATTCAAAATGGCGGCATATGTAATAAAGTGTCAAATGGATTTCCAAGGAATACTTGATCTTAGGCGAATTTTTAAAAAATCTATTTTTTAATGAATTTACACAATAATTAATCAAAATTAGATACCTTCGTATAGACTTTTTTTCGCTCTATCTAATAGTATAAAAATTCAAAATGGCGGCCATAAGAAAATAAAAACTTGACTGTTGTTGTGCGAAATCTAGAAGGCTTAGACATTTTCTGAAACCGGCATTTAATTGGCCCAGGTCAAAAATATAAAACTACCAACTTACGTTGCAATAGGTACAACAGTTCTGAAGAGATTGTTATTTAAAATAAACGTACTATTTTCATTTTTTTGACATAAATTTGAAACTAATCGAGATACCGGGGTTTTCTTCATAGGTGTTTGTCAAACTTCTAATTACGCAACTTTTGTCCCATCTAACCGAATTCGTATCTACCGTAGATTCTGAGATGCCAATGTTGATCATCGAAATTGTCACCACCCAGTATATTAAGCGGATATGGCTTTTCAGTTTTATATTCTGGATACCACAACATCTATATAGTATCTTCAATTGAAGTGTAAATTAAAAAATAATATTTTTTAGACATTTTTACATTTTAGCAGAGTTGGCGGACGTCGAGAATGTCACCATGACAATTTAATTGTTGACTTTTCAACTATGGTGTCAACGTCGACTTATTAAGTGAGATAACAGATAAAGGAAATAAATTTAGATTGAAAAGCCCGTCAAAATTTTAGGTCGCGAAATTGTTTTGGGTCTCTGCCGCTGCTATAACCGTTGCTAAGAACAACCGCCAAATAATAACAGAAATAATTTTCTCTTGTCAAAGTCAGAATCTTCAAAAATTATAAAATCTTTCAAAATTTAAACAGACCTCATTGAGAAAATACCGAAAAGTATTTAAAGCCTCCATTCTCAAGGTAATTATTGCTATCTTGTGAGTTTAATTTAAATTTTATTTACTCAAACCCGTGATAAGTGTGAAAAGGTGGCATTAAAAACTTAAAAATCTGTGCTGTGAACTGCAAAAACCATCGTGGATCGTGGCATAACGTCGGTTTCCAATGTTTCATAGGTATTTCATACATGTCCCTATATAAAATAAAGTTTCTAACATGCAACGCACTGTGTTTTATTTATAAAATTAAAAGAAAATAATAATAAATTTGAATAAATAATATTTGGCGACATAATTCCGGAAAAAGCCGAACCGCTCCGAAATTATCAAAAGCTTTGGGTCGCGACCGTTGCAAGAATAGCGCCAAATAGTATTTACATTTTCCTTATGGGCACATCGAGTATCAGTATATTCTTATAAGTATCAGTATATTCTTATAATAATGTACTAACATTTTTGAATCTTTAAATGACAGTCTATTTCGGAGAAGTGTGTGTATCTCCAGTTTGTTAATAATTACTCAAGTCAAAAAGATATTTTATATTTACATTTTTTAAACAAAAAATACTTACTGATAATTTTAGCAAGAAGGAAAAATGTGAAATATTAATTAGGACTACTGATATACAGGGTGGTCCGAACTGTATTCCGGAAACTTCGGCAACATATTCTGCAGATAAAATTAAGCAAAAAAGTTTGCATAAATTTATGTCCTAAAAGACTATATTTCGGAGATACAGAGTGTAGAAGTTACGTTTTCATTTTTTCCTAATAATTTTTGTAGTCACGCCAATATTTGTATGAAAATTATTGGTGTTGGGTTTTTTGATATGAGAAATTTGATTTTGATATCGATATGACTCCTACTTATAGAGAGCGCCACCTACGTATTTTAACTAGTTTGAAAATAAATAACTTTTCGTCCGTACCTGCATAAAACTACTGAGTAAAAATATACATTTATGACGTTTTTTTGCGTAAAAAAGGTATCTTGGTAAAAATCCATGAGATATTTGAGATTGAAATTATCAGTATCTGTCGTCATTGACAGAAATTAAACATGTTGACCAAATAGTTATTAGACTGAAATCATAAATTTGAAAGGTTTTGGTGCCAAAAGTTCAATAGAAACTGTATTATCATCATTTTTTCGAAGAAAATTTATGATTAATTTAAAAAAATAAAAATTTCCGAAATCTCCCATTTTAGTGATAATGAATAACTATTTACTCAGCATGTTTATTTTTTGTCAATAATGATATGTATTAACTATTTAAAATCTAAATATCTTGGGAACGGTAGCTCGTAGCAATTTTTATCAAGAGACATTTTTACGTAAAAAATCACGAGAATGTAATTTTTTTTCACCAATTATTTAGAATATATATTCAGAATTTTGTTCAGAAATTATTGGGAAAAATCGAAATAAAAATGAAACTTCTACGCCCTGTATCTCCGAAATTAAGCATTTTAGTACATACATTTATACGAACTTTTTACTTATTTTTATCTTACAGTTGTGGGTTGGAACCTATGGTGTTACACAGCAAAATAAAACACCAGAACGCTTTTTCTTTTACACTGTCTTTTCAGTGTAAAAGAAAAAGTGTTTTGGTGTATTCTGGTGATTTTGTGTTTTATTTTGCTATTTTTATCTGCAGAATATAACCCTCGCTTGTGACATTCACAGGATAGCATAAGTCAAACTAAATATACAGGGTGGTCCGAAGTGTATTCCGGAAACTTCGGTAGCATATTCTGCAGATAAAAATAAATAAAAAGTTTATATAAATGAATGTCCTAAAATGCTTAGGTTCGGAGATATAGAGTGTAGAAATTTTATTTTTATTTCGATTTATTCCAAATAATTGCTGAAGTAACGTCAATATTTAGATGAAAATTGGTGTCTGGGAGTTTTTTGACATGAGAAATTTGATTTTGATGTCATTATGAGTCCTATTTGTAGGAGGCGCCACCTACATGTGTTTAATCAGTTTTGAAGAGTAATAACTTTTCGACCGTACATATATAAAACTACTGAGTAAAAAATATACCTACATTTCCGTGACTTTTAGGTAAATAATGTCTCTTAGTTAAATTCGCTACAAGGAACCGTTCTAAAGATATTTAGAATAGAAATAGTCAATACATATCATTATTGACAAAAAATAAACACTTGAGTAGATTATTATTTTATTATTGTCGTAAATGTATTTTTTTTTTACTCAGTAGTTTTATACAGGCACAGACGAAAAGTTATTACTCTTCAAAACAGTTAAAAAAGATGTAGGTGGCGCCCTCTACAAGTAGGAGTCACATTAACATTAAAATCAAATTTCTCATGTTAAAAAAACCCAGATACTAATTTTCATCCAAATACCGAATTTAGTTCAGAAATCATTAGGAAAAAATCGAAATGAAAATGAAACTTCTACACCCTGTACCTCCGAAACTAAGCATTTTCGGACATACATTTATACGAACTTTTTTAGTTATTTTTATGTTCAGAATATGCTGCCGATGTTTCCGGAATACAGTTCGGACCACCCTGTATACGGAGAAATGAATAATCCTACACCTGTAATTTTTAAAATTATTTGGTAACCTACACAATTATGACCGCGCATAAACCTCAATTATTGATTACGTACTTTAAATAAAGACTATACTTTTTTATGATTTAAAGTCCTACAGCAGCGACATTCTTCACATTGTTGACATTTACTACATAGTCAGCGTATTGTCAATGTATCGAGGTCAACAATAAAATCCTGTGTCCGACCCCCCAACTCATGAATTTCATTAATATATAATTTTAATAAAAGTAAGTAGTTCTTACCTACTAGAAGAATCGACATCATCGTGACGGTGTCTTTTTCCGATATTTCCTTTTCCACAAACGTATCATTGTTGACTATCTGCAATAAAAAAACGACTATTTAGAAACCAGTTTTATCACAACATTCTTTTTTACAACATTATTTCAGAGAATAAAAGATATAGCTTTATTTAAGGAACATTTACTTCCAACGTTTTTTTCGAATGAAAGGGTTTATATTCTTGGAAAACAGCAAACGGCCTGCTCCTCATTTTGTGAATGGCGAAAACGGTACTTTTTGACTCTGCTCTTTAGGATATTAACTTTATCTTTCCATTAGAATCATTTCCTAAATCGTTTGGCGTTAGTTCGCACCTTTTTTTTAATGTAATTTAAAAGATAAGGCTTTAATGTTCGGTTTGCGCTCACTTAATTTGAAAATGAGGTGGCAATGTGCCACTTCATCTAATGTAGATAGTATTTGTAATATTTTTATAAAGAACCATATTTAAGTATTTAAAAATATAATAGTATTTTCATGCAGTGGTTGGTTATTATTTATTATTTTTGGAGTTATTAATTATTAAAGTAAAGATTTCAGTTAATGTCTCTTTTTTGCTCCCAGGGCTAATCTGGACGGGGCCTACTTTGTTTACGCGGAATCAGAACCGCGATCCTCGGCCATATCATGATCAATGGCCTACCGACTTGGCAAGTGTCTAAATCGACTCTTACTCACGAGATATCCGATCTCATCCGGCCTCGAACCGGCCTGAATGAGCAGTGTGTGTCAATAGATTTTACACATTTACCTTTTTTGGACAACAGCACGATACAGAGTATCGAACCGGTCACCCGTCCATCCGCTAGTATCCCCTTACGTCGCTTAACTTCGGTGTTCTAATGGGAACCGGTGTTTCGACGTAGCCTGGGCCGTTGCCAATTTATTAATTATTATTGTTAGTGATAATAATTAACAGACTTTTTTTTATGAAAATTTATTTTATATAGTATAATACAAAAATAAACACAACTATTTGTTATTTAGAGCTAAACTGTTACATCCGAAGGCCTAAGACTGACTAAAAAAGAACTTCCAATTATTAATGTTATATCCATTAAATCTATATCATATTCCGTTTAAACATATTTAGATTGCAAGGCAAAAACAGGAGAGAATATTAGTTAAACGATTCTGTCGTTATTACGTTTTAGCCGTTGGAGGTTTCTAATCAGTTGCATTTCCTTTTTATTTTGGTTTTATTGCAAAACACAATGGCGTTTTTGTAAAGGACTGGATCCCTTGCTTTAATGAAAATATTTTATGATTGGCTTCAGACCATAAAGTTACTTCTTTATTTTTCCAGCATTTGGGCATTTTAATGAATGAATTTCAGAATAATTAAAACCGCATATTGGGTATGCTCCATAATGCAATAAAACTCTTGATCAGGGAAAAGCAGAATGTCCAATGAAGAAACAGACAGAAAAAGAAAGAAAACAGTAAAAGCAAAGGTAAACTCTAGTCAATATCTTCAAAGTGAAGGCAGAAGATTCCAGAGTCGCAGGCTCAGAGGCTCACATGCCCTATCAGCAAGGACTTCATCCAAGGAACCAATAAAAAAGAAATAAAGTGCCGATTACAAAGGGTCTCCTTACACACACATGTGGCTATCAAGGGCTAGCTGAACAAGCTCAACCTGTATCAATGGAGTCTCTGCTGAAGATTCTGCGATAAAATATCCTGAAACTGCGGAATATTTTAATGCGAGGCTCTGGATCGCAGGAGAAAAAAAAAATGGTAAAGGAATATGTGATGTAATATGTATATAAATTAAAGTAAGCCTGACAATATTGTATCTATATTTGTTTATGGGCGGGATCATTCCATGTTTTTTGTGGCATGTATATATCTCTCGCAATAGTAGTTATTATTATAGTATTAAACGAGGTTTTGAAAAGTTTAGTATTTTATTTCGATAATATTTTATAGCAAATTCTCTAAAATATTACAGTGGCGACGAGAACGTAAAATCGGGTTTCATATTAAACTCTGATTTTATCTGAAAAACCCACGATTGTGTCGATTAAGTGTAATTAGTGTTTTTCGAGGTGTTTTTTGAAGAAAACGGCGAGAACTACCACGCCAACCTCAACCGAAAATGTCGGACATTAGCGCGAGTTTGATCCTCTAAATTCCGACTGGTCAATATATTAAAGACGAATTGAAAATTATTTTTCGGCTAACGAAATTAAAGACGCAGTTAGGAAAAGGGCAATTTTATTAAACCTTTTAAGTGAAGATGCCTACAAGTTGGTGTTTGATCTATGTTTACCTGAGGAACCAGAAAAAAAAGGGTACGATGTGCTTGTAAAATTAATCACCGAACATTTTAAGCCCCCTTCTTCAATTTTTGCTGCAATATACAAATTTTATCGTGCTGTGAAAACTCAAAACAAAAACTCTCTTGAATGGGCAGCCCGGTTACGCAGTTTAGGTTCACCTTGTGACTTTGAAGCTGGACAACTAGAGTTAGTGTTGCGTGACATGTTTGTAGTGGGGTTCAATCCTGGGCCAGTGCAAGATAGGCTCATGGAAGAAAATAAGTCTACCATTCGTCACACCATTTGCGGTCCAAAGGTCAGTTCGCTGGTCAATTATCAGCCAAGAAGGATGTGCGATTCTCCAGCACATCAGCTTGCAAGGTTTGTGGTCGCAAAAACCACGAAACAGGTCAGTGTGCGTTTAGAGATTGTTTTTGTCATTGTTGTAAAAAAAAGGGGCATCTTGCATAGGTATGTCCCAATAAAAATAGAAATAATGTAAACAAACCGATGTTAGTTAGCCATTCTCAAAATTATTTAGAATCTGAAGATTATTGTTGTTGATTATTATGATTGTACAAATAATGCAATTTTAATTAATTTAAAAATTGAAAACCTTGATGTTTCTTTTAATTTAGATACAGGGTCTAGCTATAGTGTTATTTCAGAAAATTATTATATAGATTTTTGCAGTTTAGTATTATTGAAAATGTTACAGTTAAGGATTACAGAAATGTGCAAAAACCTACTTGGATACGTGGTAAAATTTATAAAAAAATAGGAAAATGTATGTACTTGGTAAAAATTCCTTCATTAAATGACATTATTTGGAAGCGTCATTTAAACTAGATAAAGAAATTTTTTATTAATGAATCAGCTATTTCTAAAAAATTAATTGATGAACAAGGCGTAAGTCATAATGAGGGAATTTCTCAAGAAAATTCGATTTTAAACTCAACATCTCCTGATAAAGTTGAAAATATTAATTCTGATCTCAGTGAAAATCGGCCAAAACGTTTAGTGAAACCAGTGCAACGTTTAATGTATAATTAGTTTTTTTTTGTAGGAGGGAAGTGTGATGTAATATGTATATAAATTAAAGTAAGCCTGACAATATTGTATCTATATTTGTTTATGGGCGGAAGCATTCCATGTTTTTTGTGGCATGTATATATCTCTCGCAATAGTAGTTATTATTATAGTATTAAACGAGGTTTTGAAAAGTTTAGTATTTTATTTCGATAATATTTTATAGCAAATTCTCTAAAATATTACAGAATACTAAAACCGAAGAAACAACGCTCGAATACATCAAGGAGCTACCACATGTTTGTGCATGGTACAAGGATAGGATAATGAATACATCGAAAGGGGACAAACACAATATACCTTATAGATTTGCAGCGGTTCCGCCACAAGACGGCCCCTTTTAGTATTTACTTTATTTTTTTTTACTTGAAAAGCAACTTACAGTATAAGAAAAGCTTTATACTGTAAGTTACTTTCAAAATTCCGAACTATGGTTTTTATGACAGTACTAATCACATCTTTGTGACTGAAGAAAGTTTCTAAATTCATTGTTTTGTATTGAGGGAGAAATTTATCTATCAACTATACACTCACAGGCACGAAAAACGGGAACCTTAAAATTTTGATGCATTGTAAAATTTTATATATCGTCTTCTACTGGACCGATTTTGATGATCTTTTAAGAAATTTCTAGCTAAATTATTTGACATTTCTCTGTCAATTATACGAGAGAACACAATAAAAATATAATAAATATAAATGTTATTTTGGTACCCCGTGGAATATGTTAAAAATTCACAGTCCTTTACAAAGATGCAACCGGGGGGCATTGAAAATGATGAATAAAAACGTAAAAATATGATTAGTATTAATATGAGTGTATTACATACATATGTTTAAATAACGAACTTAACAAAAAACAACAGATTTAAACATTCACTGAAAAACTATAGTAGTAAAGAAAAGTAGTTTAGAACTCGACCTAACCTAACCTAACCAAAGTCGAGATTTTGCAAAATTTCAAAAAAGATCTTTCGAAAATAATAAATAGTGAAATTACATTTACCCTCTATGGATAGAACCCTACCTATGGTCCCATATAAACTGTATTACTAAAGTAAATAGCTTTTACATATAAAGTTTTTAATTGTCGCTTTTCTTGATATACTGCCCTGATTTTATTTTATTTTTCCAGAGCACTAATACTCTCTTTATATGTTATTTTTTATTCCTAGAAGGATGATTTGAAGAAGAAATATTTTGTTCATATTATTGATGTCACTATAAATAAACCCTTGTATAATATGTTATACTTCTAGATGTTATAGTAATGCATTTTCGTACAGCAAACTTTCATACCCTATTCTACTCCCTAAGGGTATGAATTTCATAAATTCCTATGTCCAAATAATTAACTCATGTCTTTTAAATGATCCTTTGTGCAAATTTTTATGTGTATAATCCAGAGGTCACGAAGATTTATATAATTTTTTACTAACTTTACCCTTTTGGTTGAAGAATTTCAAAAATCTCTTCTTATTCTTTCTGTAGAATTTCATTCTTCTAGACCAGATAGTAAATCATTTTCATACAACAAATCGTTCGACATAATTTTACACTCTAAGAGGATGAATTTTGTAAAATCGCTTTGCATAACTAATTCACTAATCACTAATGTTCTTTAAACGAACCTTTGTGCTAATA